TGGAGGTTTCAATAATAATTTAGGAGAGTGGGGAAAATTTAACTTAAATCTTCCATGATTGAAAAGTGCTATACGCAAGGGTCTGCTTTTAGGGGGTTTGAGGGACTGTTGTCTTCCAGGCAAAGGAAACAGAACAAAAGTTCCCTAAACAGGATTGGGACTCATTATTTGCCTCTGCAGATCTCAGCCATATTTTACCTCCTCCTTTGCACTAATGGTATCATCTGCCAAGACCAAAACTGAAAGAATTCTTTGAGAAATTCCCTTAAAATACAGACGAGTACATTGCGTACAAAGATTTCATTCCATTTGCTGACATTTGCAGTCTTTCCTTCTGTGCTTTTTTCACACTACCCTTGACTTCTCAAGCTGCTTTGAACAGGCCATTTTCTGATAAAACCTATTACAGCATGAGTCCTTGTAACATTTTAAGAAAATACAGGGATGAATCATGAAACTAGTGAAAGTAATACTTATCGTACTCTATGGACAAAAGAAATACATTGGTAACAACAATATTTTGTTGCATTTACTGAAATCTTTAGTTTATTTTCGGTCTTAATGGGCAGATGCATTTGCTCTTTTTGCAAACAAAAGAGTATTCAAAACCCGTAACTAGAAACAAATGATCACACACTGTACCTGTATTTCCTGAACTAAGAACAGAAAATCAAATGTTTTTGTCGGCCATGCTTTATAATTGTGCATTCCTGCACATAGAGGCCCTAGCAGGATCCTTCTCAAATGACACAGATGATTATTATTTTCTTCCCAAGGGAAAGTGGTATTACAGCATCAGTATTATCCACTGGTAATGAGGTGCTCACAGATGGAAAGAGGAGGGGTAAGACAGATATAACATGAGTGACTACCCTGTGGCAAATGTTGCTTTAAAAATGTTTTCATAACACTTCAAAGAGTCTGAGTGAAGGGATCACGTGGTAATACTGTCTAACTCTTGCTTTAAACAATAGGGACTTCCAACCCCAATCCTGGATAACCCTGTTAATATTGCTGGTAGTTTCTTTTCTTGGTTCCAAGTACATGATTAAGACACTGATTCAACAAATCAGAGGTGATCACTTCACCAGAAAGCATCATATGATAATGAAAGGCTTCTGAGAGGGAGCTCTCCTCACTTCTGCAGATCTGCTTTCTGTTCCTTTCTTGCTACAGTCTCAACCACCATTGTTAATATCTGCAAAGAGCTCTAAAGAAGAACTCTGTGATGGGGGTTAAGCTTTTTAACAGATGATTGTTAGACGAAAGAAGGGGTGAATGCTGTCAGTGACATGTATTTGCTTTTTGTTCTCAGATGTTATGTGGTGACATTACCTTTTTGTTATGGCCAAGAGAACAGGTGTAGCAGAGTCCCAGACCTTACTGTCTCTTTGAGAAATCCTCCTTGGAGCTTTTGCCTGCCTGAAGACTGAACGTGTTTACTGATTTGCATAATTGTAGGAGCAGTTCTTCTGGTTTCACTAGAGATCTAATATGGAAAATATTTCTGAACTGTTGCCTTTGCTTCTAACAAAAGCAGAAATATAATTAAATTACTTGTAGAGAGAGGTAGTAAAGCACCATTCACTACTTTTTAAATGTGAAACCTTCAATGTGCATAAAAGAATTGTCTCTCTGCACCCAGGTGATACACTAAGTGCTGATATGCTGCTCCTTCACAATTATGGGGTAAGTTTCTCAATTAGACTTGTATATGAAAGGCCTTTTTTCCTTTCCTTTTTTCTTCACTTTTAAATTTTTTTTTGTGTGTGTGTGTATGTGAATGGCCACAATTTCAGTGACATGATTTCTTCTTATTCTGTGCATGCAGATTAATGATAATTTTCCTTTTTAACAGGAAAACAGGGCAGCCAAAATGAATGCAGAAAAGGGAGAACTGCATGGACAAAACCTAGAGAAGGAAATGTGTTTATAACCCCACTAATTCCAGCTCATGAAAAGTTCCTGATCAAAGTCTAAAATCTGTCTCCTACACTGATAGCAAGTGAGGAGTAAGTGGTTTTGTGAATGAGCTACTGCACTAGTAAAACCTTCAAATCTCTCTGCTACTGTTGTAGTGCAGTACGGCCACAACCATTAATCCCTTCTTGGGAGCAGTGATCAGCAGCAGGAAAAAGTGGTATTTTCCAGGGGGAAGGCTCTCTTGTTGGGTGAATTAAAAGATAAGATGCCTAGTAAGAATCTATGCCCAGCATTGTGATGGGAGCTGGGCCAAGGAGGACATACATCAGAGGTGCAATGATCCTTCCTTTGAACCCCATTCTGGAGCAGTGTGCACATTGTTAAATACCTTAAGAAATACAAAGATCAGATGGAGATCACAGTTTCCTCTGCCAGGGAAATGGTTAGAGACATACTTAAAACAGGAGGAAGGGCAGAGAAAGCAAAGCTGTTCACTTTTCTCTGAGGAGTGAGGGAAAACGTGGTTATAATCTTCAAAGAAGTAAAAAGTTACTGCAGAACAAAAGGCAATGTGGTATTGTTAGACATCCAGTGTTGTTAGGATAAGAAGTAATGGGGTTATATTTAAAAAATATATTTAGGCAGGAAGGTTCAGTGGAAAAATGTATTAGGAAATATATTCTCAGGAAAGGTTAGTGAAATATGGAAAATGATTGCCTGAAGATGGTAAAGCTTTTAAAAGCAAGTCTGAGAAATATCTGTCATAAATGCTGTGCAGTCAGTCCTCATAGCATAAAGAGTTCTAAGGCCTCCTCTGAACTTTTTTTTTAAAAAATTTAAATGCTGGGTATTTTTTAGCCTTTTCTATAAAGGCTTTATCCATCAAATTTATTTTTTTCTCTTCATCTATCTTTGTTTAAAAATCAGCCTTGTTCTTAGTATTAAGATTTTTTTTCTCGTGATGATATTTGACTTCTTGTTCATAAAATGAAAAGACATTTTCATAAGGTGCTCTATCAAACAAAACTATCTCTGCTGTTTGAGGATATAAAATTCTTTTTGTGAAGAAAATGCAGATGCTATGTTTTCCATCCACCCATGTTAAAGAGTTACTTAAGCTACAGTAAACTTGCCAGAGACATCAAGATTACAAGTGGACACCTCCTGGATTTATTTGGGGTGCTTGTGGAGCAGAGTGGGGCAGAGTGGACTGAAATGTACACCTGTACCTTTCAGGGTACAGGTATCTGGAGGGTGTCACTTGCTCAAAGTGAGTGGAAACTTCCTTTTACCAGCACTGACTACTTAAGAGACTGATGACATTACAGGTGTGTATAAATGAAGTCAGCTTTGCAGTTTATTTGTGGGATGATAATGAATTATGGTATCTGTCGTGTTATCCAGATGACTTAGCGCAATCATGTCTCACATCATGGTTTATTTCTCATTGTCTTTCAGTGTGCCAATGCTTGATGCATTTGGCATTGATGATGATTTTGTAGTTGGATAATCAAATCAGGCATTACACTTAGTTTTAATGGAATGATTTTGTTGTCCATCTCTTCTTTTTCCTAATTCAGCAAGTAGCCACCATCCTAAATATGTGTCCTTAGGCATGATGAATGCCTGTCTTCTAAGCTTGTCTCTGTCACAGATTTGACTCGCAGCTCTCAGCAAATTGTGTCTTCCTTCTGCTCAAACAGATGTTACTCACCTATATTTCAGCTTTTCCAGACAACATTTGCATCTTATATTTTGCATACAGCCTAGTACAGCAACTGTAATTAAAACTTGGCAGAAGTCAATGTAAAGGCTAAACGATCCAGGGTGCTGCTAATAGTAAAGCCAAAATAGACTTCTCAGAAAAGTAACTGGAGTCCTTCAGTGCATTCTAAAACCAGGGTGACCTCCTTTCTGCAAGTCAGTTTTTACTTCTTCACATTTGTGGGGCATTTCATCACTTGCTTCAGAGACATCAGTTGAAACAATATCCTCAGTACTCTTTTCTTTTACCTCTTTCTTTCCATTTTCTTAGATATTCTCGGACCATATTTCTTTGCACTGTCTGCAACACAAAAGTCCAGCACTGTTTGAGGACAGAGACAGTACTCTTGATTAAATAATTTTATAATGTTATTCACCAGTGAAGAATTTTCAAGCATGTGAAAGAAGAATACCAGATAAAGTGATAAGTGCTTTAGTTATTATTTGCTCTATCAGACAAGTTTGCTCCATTTATTTATTCAGGAGATCCTCTTTGTTCCAGTGTAAAGATTTCACACAACTTGATGGTACTTGAAGGGGAAATCTATTTCTATATGTTTAATATTCCAGAGAGTTCAGGTTCTTATAAAATGTCATAAAATGTCTCCACAGTGCATCAGAGTGTGTGCTTGAAGAAATCTCCCTTTTGTAATACTATCTGTGAGATTCTCAGAAATGGAGAATCCTGGCCAAAATAATTCCAGAGGGACTGAGACAAGCCAAAACTAACATGGTTTAAAAAAAATATCTCTGTAAGCTTACATGAAACTTTTCTAGGAGGGATTTCTTCAGTGAGCATGTGGATAGAATTTTTAAAACTGAAATAAAATGAGCGTCAGTCCCTCAAGCATTTACCCATGTCATTTTCCACGGTCCGTATATGCCAAGAGTGGGATAGTAGTGTACAATATGATGAAGAGCAGCTGGGTCTTCCTTCTCATGAGCAGCTTGTGCCAGATTGCTGTATTCTTTGTCTGCGTGTTTGGGATACAGAGTGAGCTAGATTAGAAGAAATTACACGGAAGCAGCCTGCATAGTTTTGAACACATCTTCAAATCTGAAAAAATATTCTTACATAACCTCTGGTCATTTGCTGTGATGAAATCTAACCTCTTGGTGACTCCCTGAGCTGATTTCCCAGGTGCCTGTCAGGCATTTTGGATCTTGGCAAGAAGTGCTCATCTTATGTTGCCTCAAGTGACATCTGGGAATTAAACTGCCCTCCCTGTTACATTTTATTTCTTTAGGAGGCTTTTGAGAAGCACGAGTAAACCCTTACAGATACCAAAACTTTGCACGGGTGGTTTTATCCCATAGTTTTTTATCCCATAGTTGCTTTGCTCGCAGTTTTTGCGGGCAGACAGCAAAGCAGTCTTGCTAAAGCATCTCCTTTCTGAAGGTCAAAATGCCCTGGGGACTCCCTGAAATCTCTCTGAGCTGGGTAAGCTATGCTTTTTTCTTCATTGAGACTCTTATTTGGGAGGTATTGAAAAGCTCTAGAGTAAAAAGGAGATTTTGCTCCTTTCATAACTTCTTTTTTCCTCTGTTATCTCCTTGGCTTAAACTTAAGATTTTTTTTTTCTGTCAGTTCATGTTTAAGTTTTTGTTACCATCCTCCATATATGCCTTATCAAGCATCACCAACACCATTGTTCTTAGAGCTTTTTTAACCAGCCAGAAAATAAAGAGGTGAGGTTTTGTTCTTTCTTCTATCCTCTCAGTAGCTAAAAACAAAACAAAACAGTGTAGCTGTTTTAAAGATCTTTATTCTATCACCCACAATATTTTTACTACTGTGAGAAAACACAAAAATTCCTGAATTGAGTTTTCTAGTAGACTTCCCAATGATTTTATGATAATGGAGTTGGGACTAAGGTGCCACTGCTCTGCTGTGGGTAAACCATCACCTACTGGCAAAGAGAAAAGAAGTCTAGAGCTCCCCAAGAGCTCTGGACTCCCCAATAGCGTCCCCAAGAAGATTTCTCTCTGCATCTCAGCTAGCAGGTGAAAATACTGACCTGCAAATAACACCTAGTACAGTTATTGTGGGATGGACTAGGCTAACAATGGCTAAAAAAGGAGCAGTCTTTCAAATTTGTAATCAATAAAATGCAGTTGTCTGTCCTAGGAAAGAAAAGGCAGAAGATCAGTACCTCACAGCAGCTCCTAAGGGAGAACAGGGAGGGGGAGCTGCTTGGCCCAAATACAGTCTGGTATATTTGAGCAAGAGAGACCGGGAAGAGAAAGGAGGAAGGAACTTTGATGCAATAGGAAATTTCTGAATTTATCAAGGCAGGTCCTCTGCACAGTCCTGGTGCTGAGGCCTCATATATAGCCTATGCTATTCTTAGAGCGTGCAGCAGAACAATGGTTCCATTCGAAGAAGCTCTTTTATAGCTTGCCAATATAAAGAAGGCTGTGCAAAATGATATGATCATGTAATTGAACACTGTAAATAGATACGCTGACCCAAACGATAGTTTGAAATTAGATCACTTTCCTGCCACATCTAAACTTTGTAGACTTAACAGAATGAGAAAGACTTGATTATTTTTTCTGGATTTATAAATGTTCATGTTACTTATATGTGATTTATGAAATCCAGTGATTTGATGGGACAATGATGGGAACCTTTTTTCTGTTCATTGAAGCAGGAGCTAGATTAATTTAATCCCTTTGCTGGTTTGACTTTAGTGTCTAGTTGTAAAATCAAGATCTGTGTATCCTGCAAAATCTAAACCTCAAGCGTTAAGAATACCTTTCACTTTTTATAACGCTGCCACAGCTCCTCCTATTAATTAGGATAAATTGGATTATTAAAATTGATTCTGTGAAATGCAATAGAACTAGTGGTACAGGCTTGAGTCAGAGAGATACAGCCTGCAAATGCATTTTGAATGGCCACTGCCAAGACAGGAAGCTAATATGAGCACCATGGCTGGCTGGCATGAGCCACAAAGTGTCCTGCCTATGCAAGCCATAGCAGATGCTTGATTCCCTGTATGCTCTGGGAAATGAGCAGCATTGCACTATGGAGGTGTTTTTTTCTAGTTGCCTTCCTAATAGAGCCAGATGTGGCCCCGTGCAACAGCTTCTTGAAGGTATTCCGAACTGCCTTAGAGTCATCTCATTCCAGCTCCTTTTCACTTTCATTCTGAGCAGTGAAACAGGTGCTGAATCTGCACTGATCACACCCTGGTCAGTGGCTGTAGTCACAGCAAGGCACTTGGCATGGTGGGAAGGATTTGCTCCCGGCAATGGATGACACACCGCAGGATGTGGCCCATGCAGAGAGGATGCTGATGGGGACAGAGGCGGCAGGGCCAGAGGTGGTGCCTGGAGCAGCAGGTTCTGCTGTGAGGAGTATTGTGAAGCCTCCTGGTATGCAAAAATTGGGACAAGACTGGTAGTCAAGACAGGGCAAACCTGGTATTTTGGTCTGCAGCTTGACAGCAGAGCAGGGAGTGGTTGAATTGGGCAACATCCCAGAGTTCAGCTGTGTGCCCAGAAAGTAAGATCGCAAAAGGCTAAACAAAGCCAGAGTATGCCAGAAGTAGCAAATGGTCTGCAAAGCAGGCAGGCATTTTCTTTGATTAACTGATGCTGGATTACTGTGTGAGCAAGTAAGAGTGGAGCAGGGTGCCAGATCTTGGGCAAAAGGTAATCTTACACCTGGGAATCCCAGATATCTTGTTGCCCTTTGAGATGTAAAAAGTTTTGAGCCATTCAGATGTCCAGCATGACTTGTGGCACATAGTTAACCCACCAGTGTCCTCTCTGGAGTGGTTTTGATCCAGCCTCATGAACTCAGGCCAGAAGAATGTGTTGTGTCATGGGACCATGATACTTACAGCATTTAGATATTGCATGTCTCAAAAAGTAACCAAGAATGTTGAAGTAATGAGCTTCTAAAACACTACCATACTGACTTTTAATTGCAGAGCATGTGGGAAAATATCAGGTCTGAACTGTAGTAATTTCTAATGGGCTGCTTTTTTCATGTATTTCTGCCATACATTTCCTAATATCTGGGTCTTCTGCTGAATTTAGTTTTGTTTCCATGCCGTAGCCTAAAGCTGTGGGTCAAGCAGCAGGTTGATATTAAACCAAGCTGCATTGTGAAGGCGTTGCATTGGAAGAGGGGAGCCCCTGTATTTGCTAAGGACCAATGAATAACTCCTTCCCGAGGTGATCACACTGGGAGGCTTTTGCAGGGAGATAATTTTTCCTATGTTCAGTTTTGCTGTTGTGTTGGAATTTGTGATAAATGTCATGGTGGTTTCTCTACTTTCACTAGTGATTTAAACCACACGTTTTTAACATCACAGCTAGAAAGAGAAAATGTGAGTGTTGAGGGTTGAGCTGGGAATTGGGCCCCGAAGATGGAGCTGCCTGACTTCAGCGTGTCTGGAGCCTCAGCTGCAAAAAGCTGCTTTGCGTTTGTTTGATTTGCATTGATATATTGTTACATCATATATGTGATACAATAGATTAAAAAAAAAAAAGCCATGTGGCTCTTGTCAAGAAAAAGGGAACTATGCACTTCTAGTAATTATTACCATATGATTCTTGCACTCTTCCTACATATATGGCGAAGCCACTTATATCCTACTGAAACACTATGTTGTTTTTTTTTATCAGAGAGAACAGTTGAAACAACATGTATATTGCCACAATAATTTCAGCTCTTTACATCTGTTACTTTGCCACATCCTGTGTGTGCAGAGGATCTTTAGTCAAGAAAGTGAGTTTCAGATGTGATTGCTTATAATAAGTTAAACAAATTCTCAAGCAAATAGGTTGAGCAAATAATTTTCCTTTTAAATTATTCAAAAACTGATGGTGATAATGCAAAGCAGAGACAGGAACAGTCTTCCATGTGCAATAATTTGACATAGCAAGTTGACCTAGTTGTCTCTTCACACTCAGATCTTATATACCAAATCTTTTCTGAGTGAATTCACGTAGTGCTTGAGTGTGAATCGCCGTATAAAATCTTGTCAGGGACATTTTAAATGCTGTACAGTTTGAGCTAACCTGCTATAATGCCCTGCTCCTTTAACTAGTCCTGTTATTGTCTGCTGCAGTTGTTGACTCAGGGATTTTCTGATGTGGTCTGGGAATGAGTTCTTTTGGACTTTCACATTATCATGTTACAATATATACTACAGATTATTTATACTGGGGGTTAATTACATCATCTGAATGGAATTCATTTTCCATTGTATCTACAAGTTTGCATTTTAAAATAGTACTTTCTCTTATGGAAACTCGGAATGAAATTACATTGATTCTTGAGGAAATGAGCTCTAAATAATGATTCTATGATTCCATGTTTGGCTTTAAACAAACACATTGGATTGGAATAAATAACTGGGAAGTATTTTTCGAGGATGAAATATATCACTTCTGTACTGTAATGGAATATGGAGTCTGTCCAGCTAAATGTAGCAGATAAACAAATAAATTAAAAAGTATTGAGCCTTCTCAAAGGGACAGAGTTGCTAAGTACAACTTATCCGTACTTAGTATAATCTTAACTCTTCTTCCAAGCATTTCCATTTAATTTTAAAATAAAATCTTGAAAAAGTTCCCAGGACCAGTAACTAGAAATATGCAATCTCATTCATGAGAAAAACAAGTGGGAGACAGAACTTCATTGTGTGTATGATTATTTTTCTGATTGGCTGTCAACACATAAATGTGAAAATGGAGGCATTAACTCACAAACCCATTTTTTGTCATGGCTTATTGGTGAATTTAAAACCTTGAAGTTCGTTTTGGGTCAAACAAACATTTCGCTTTTGCCATCAAACAAAGCACCTCATTGACTTGCACAAGACACCGCAGAAAGGAAGGGCTGATCCACAGATGGAGGAGGCAGGGCCTCCCCGGTCACCGCAGTGCCTTTCCCGATGGCCCTCGGGTTACGATGGGATGTGGATGCCCTGCACCAGCTGCCACATTCTGCTGGACTGCTTGGCTGAGGGTGACCCAGCTCTGGGAGAGGGCTGTGCCTGAAGCACAGCGCTTTGGGCGCCCAGCCTCCGCACTTCCTGTCCTCCCTTTGAAAGCAATGTGCAGCGAACACTCTTTAGCTACCAAAAATAAGAGAACTCTCTTCTTCCTCTTCATCCCAAATGACAAACAACGAGGGATCTTTATTTTTTCCTCCCATCTCATAAATCAAACAATCCCTTCCCTCAGATGGCGGCGCAGGGGGAGCCTCAGCAGCCCTGTCTGCTCTGCACAAAAGCCTCTGAAGCGACGCCAGGCCGGGATGCAGCAGGAAGAGCCGGGCCAGTGACCCCTGCGACGGTGTGGCTGTGTGGCTGCCTCTTGGTCTCATATTGGCCACTTGGTGCTGCTTCTGTGACAAGAAAAGGGGTTGCAGCTCTGGTGGGTTGGGGACCGAGGCTGTCCTTGGCAGAGACACCTTTCCAGAATGCAGCCATGCCCTCTGCAGCAGCCAGGCCACGCACAGATGCCTGTGAATGCCCACATTTGGGGCACATTTTCGCTTGACAATAGTGGCCTCGAGGTCTTGCGGAAGAAAGATGTTTTCCATGGCTGTTTTGTATTTCCTCATGAAGATCTGGACTGAACTGGAAATGAGTTAAGTAGATTTGTTTGCTAGGCCTTGGGAAGCTTTGCTGATTGGCCCCCCGTTGTGCTGTTGAAAACTGGGGTGAGCAGGAGGAAGGATTTGTCAAGAGGAAAAAGTCTAAGTCCCCAGGCTCTTAAGTGCGCGTCTGCACACAGAACAAAAGGAAAGAGGGAATTACAAAGCTGTTAATTTGTTAATAATGAAAGGACAGTTGCCAAGGTCTAGTCTGTATTCATGTGCCACGGTTAGCTGCAAAGCAGAAAGGACCAAAAGCAGGGGCTTGATGAGTCCTTTCCACCTCTGTGTTCTCTGGAGGCACCAGGGCTTGCCAGTTCTACCCCCATACAATGCAGTATATCAAGCTATCATTAAAGAAAAGAAAACCACCCCTGATCTACTAGCATGTAAAAGTGGATTTAATATAGGTAACCAGAGGTGTAATGGTGCAAGGTACAGGCAGAGACTGAAAACCAAAGTGTGATATCAGAAAACTGATGAGTGAGAGGACTCTAATTTAATACAAAAATATTGCCTTCAGATCAATAAACAATGTATTTTTTCCTTGGAAAGTAGCATTCTGGGGAACCCAGCATGCCTTTCTTTTTCTTATGCATGAGACTTTTTTGACTCCTGATGTAGGGGAGCAGCAGAAAACACCCTCCTGGGCTGGGGCTAATGGGGGCTAGGAAAATAAGTGCTCAACATATTCTACTGCAGCCAAAGCTATCTTTTGGGTCTGTTTTTTATTTTCAATCTGGGAATGAGGGGGAAGTTCTTGGAGAGTTACCAAACCATTACAGGTGGTTGAAAATATTTAACTCTTCTCTTTTAGTAATAGAAAAACATTTGCACTTTAAAAAAATTGGTTCCAAATCTAGCTGGCTCCCTATAACCATTTAATGAGTTACTCACAAGAGCAGTCTGGGATGTGGGATATACTCCATGAAAACAACTTTTTCCCTTCTTCCCAGGAAGAAATTCCCTGGAGGTACCTGTCACCACTGTGGCCCTATGTGCCCCAATCAGGCAGGACTGAGGGGAAGCTCTCTATCTACCTTGCCCCTCAGAAGTCTTTTCTCTGACAACATATGAGAACCTAAACCCTGCTTTAAGTTAGAGAGGGAGCCATGTCTCTGGGAGGGCAGCAGTGCTTTGATGAGAGGTTTCTCTCCTGACGCCATGCCTGTCCACCCTGTGTTTCATGGCAATCCAGCTCCCAGCCATGAGTTAGTTCTGAGAGCCCGTGTGGGTGTGCAGGGAATGCACATTTGTGGTTTAGTCAGTGCAATGCTGATGGCTAGCGAGGTAAGCGTCCTCCAAAGTTGCTAATAAAGGATGTCCTCCCCCTCCCTCTCTTTGACTGGTGCTGTCAAGACCTGTCTGGGCTATTCCACTGCTCCTCTATTGGTGAGGTGTTCCAGCTTCTTGGTTCAGACTCCTGTAAGTTCTTCAGGCCCAAAACTTGGGCCTAATATGTTTTCCTGGACATAAATCAAAGCAGAGTTAAAAATAATAATAAAAAAGCATAAAAAGCTGTTTGTGTTTTAGAGATACCATATCATTCAGACTTCAAAATACAAATTCTGTTTAAAGTCTTTTTCCCTCCCCTGTGGTTTTAGATTCATTAGTTGCTAGACTTCCTTAGTCTGAGCAACAGTTTTAGTATAGATTAAGAAGGAAAACAGGATCTTGGTTTGCATTATAAATAAGTCTAGATTGTGCATTGACTGCCAGTATATTTTTCTTATTCCATATCTATGTCAGCTTGGGATGAACACTTCGTCATTGTCAAGCCACCTGTGTGACTGCAAAGTGCCGGCTGAATCTGTCAGTGTTGCAAAGAGGAAATGAAGAGACTTTGATCCTCTGAATAGCGTCCCTTATCACCTAAAGATGTTGATTCAGATTAAAATTTGCTATGACTTTCAATATGAAAAATTCGTTAGCTTTTTATCTGCTGCAGTATTACTCTACCAAGGCTGTCATGGCATTGTGTGGACATGATCTGCAGTTATTTCACACTGCCCTTATGTGCTGCAAGGGTTTGTGCTCCCCTGGCCCTACCTTGAATTCAGCATCTTGAGTTCCAGCTCAGCCTGTGCTTTCTTGCCTTGGTTCACCCCTGCCATTTCAGTGGCCACTGACACGTGAAGTGTTGCACTGTTGGCAGTACTGGCTGCCCTTGGGTCCCTAAGGGAAGTATTGTAGAGAATAGTTCCCCAGTGTAAGCAGGAGTAAACATGTTTTTTTTTTTTTTTTTTTTTTTTTTTTTTTTTTTTTTTTTTTTTGTTGTTTTCTCCCATTCTGGAGATGCCTGGATATCCTCATCTTCTGAGCTACTGACTGAGGTCACCTTAGGGATCTCTATATATCTCGTGGTCTGGTGTAGTGATATTTCCCCCAAAGGCTGTGGTTGTGTTCCCTAATCCCACCTGCAATTTTCTCGGTTGGCAGGAGTTTGTGTGGCCAGCTGTATTTGTAACTCTTCTTTGTGCTGTATTAGGTAATCAAGAGAAAACTCATCATGAGACTGCACTGAGAGGATGGCCTTTCTCCTGGCTATGTCCCACTGGACATCTTCAAGGAACTGAATGCTCAGAAAACTATCAGAACCACAACAAAAGCTAAGTGATTTCAATTTTCTTGGGGTCTAGCTTTCCCATATTTGCAATCTGCATGAATAATTGAGCCAGTATAAGAAGCAGGGCAGGGACTTGCACTTTTGGCAGCTGCTCAACTCTACTTGGCTCAACCCTGATGAGAAGCAGAAGTCACATTTGCTAGTAGGCTCTGGCTGCCATTTAATATCTGTTGGTATGTTAGGGATCTGACTCATGTTTGCTTGACAAGCAGCTAAAATGGGTTAAAGTATGTTACTCCCTCAGGCACACATCAGCTCTTTTGCAGCTGGGGTCAGGACGCCACGGTTTTGCTGGCATGCTGCAGGCACAGTATGCTCTGCTCCTGGACAACAACAAAAGTGGGGAGGAGTGAAGGCCTAGAGGGGAAGCACCTCCAGGTGTCACAGACAGATTTGCAAAAGCTTATCTCCCAAAACCCACTGTGGGGTCAGGGACTTGGCATGTCACCAAGCGGGGCAGCGATGTGGGGCAAGTGGCCCAGGCTGGAAGCACCAGGCTTGCTGTCAGCAGCTGCCTCATGGCAGCTCCAACAGCACTGCAAGGACCCTGCACTGGCTTTGAGGGCTGCTTAACTTCTGTATCTCATTTTGCCCAGCAGTGTAATGTGAATGGATAAGTGCACTGGGTCCCTTTCCAGCTTACAGTTCAAGAGTAGTCTTTTTTCTTTGACTATCTCTTCTATCTTCCTATCTCCTCCTCAGCAGCCACTTCTCCAAGAAGTAATAACTCAGATCCTTTAGTTCCTTATCCTAGCCAAATGCTTTGATCAATTTAGTATCTCTCTAAACATTTTCCAACATGTTTCTAGTCTTTCCACCTTGAATGAGCCTCACAGAAAAATGTAAACCATTTTTTGCTTTCAGCAGATTATTTCTTGTTCTTCAGCTCTTCTGTGGTTTTCTTTTCCTTCTTTACTTTTTTTTCCTTTTAAAAATACTTACACCATTTTACATAAAAACTAGACTGACATTTTATTTCTGGCACAGGACGCAACCAAATCCCCACTGCAGTTTCTGTTGGGTTTAGAGCAACAATCTCTGTTTGAAAACTTATAATGCTCCTTACTCTGGATAACTGCTAATACACTCTCCCTCAGTGCTTCTCTTGTCACTTGTAGATGACCACAACTGTGAGACTATTTTGCCTACCTGAGCTCCTAGAGCAGCACTATGAGTCTGGAAAGAAAATTGATGTTGTTGTGACTGCTGGTCAGTATCTGCTACTGCCTCTGTCCACTTGTAATTTGGACTCCAGCAGCCATCATGCTGGTTGTTATTAATGCTCCACTCTGTTTTCAGGCCTGGTTCTGTTGCAAAACACATACAAGGAGAAATATGCAAGGAACATTTAGCTCTGTTAAAATAGACCTGCTGTTTTACTGCTACATTTCTTTTTCTTCTCTACTGGTTTCCCTCTCCTTCATCCTCTTAATGTAGCATATTTGTGGGTGCATATAGTAGTTCATTGCAAAATATACTGGATTTAAAGCAAAACAGAGAAAAACTCCCTGAACTGAAATTGCTTCTTTAAAGCTGCCGCATTAAGTTTGGCCATGATCCACCCTGGAGACTTTCCCTGGCAGAGACTGTGATGCACACATCTCAGTTTGGAATTGCTCTTTCGGACACAGATTCCCGCAAGAATAGCAGGAACATGACAGGCCAAGTCATGCTAGGCAGCAAAGCCCACTGCAGTCCAGTAAAGACAGTCTGTCCATTCACCTCTTATGGACTTTTCCGGGGCTGTCTGCGTGTAAGGGGGCGGGGAAGGGAAAGGGACAAGAGGACAGAAATGTAGTTGGGGTTTTAAATTGTTCTGTTTCTGAAGGATTCAAGTAATAATTGTGAAACTGTTCAAGCTTCCATTATGGAAAATTATTATCTTTCACATGTTCTTTATGCTGTGCTTCACTAAAAACTTGTTTCATTGTTGGACTGTGTTGAACTCTTACTGGAAAAATTCCTGCTTTTCTTTTTCTGGCCTGATCCAGCTGACTTCTAAGCTAAAAGAGATTTGCTAGATTTAGAAGGTAAGTTGTGAGGTTAGAACAAGCAATGCAAAATCGAGTACATGTTCTGAGTGATGCTTAATGATAGGAAAGTGATCTGAAGGCTGAGATCCCTTGCTGGAGCAATGGTATAACTGAGCATGTAGATGTAACCCATTCATTTCTAATTTGGACAACAAAGAGTCTACCCACATCTTACTGTCTGGCTTGGAATGACAAACAGGTGAGCCTGCCCTGCTTCATTTTGCACCAGGACATTGCTGGTTTGCAGGGCCACCTGAAAACTAATGTGTATTTGAGTAGCTCCTCACAGCATGTGCTATGTAAGGGCATATACACTCTGCTGCTATTTAAAGCATCAATACCAAGTTAGTGCCTGAAATACTACCTCTGACCTGGTTGGCAAAACTGATTCAGTTCAGTATAGACAGATTAACATCTCCTTGCTCTGCACTGACTTAGTATTAAGGTCTCTGAGGCAGGAGTTAAGTCAGGGCAAGGTTTTATCCAAAATATTTTGATCCTACTCAATTTAAATGAATTTGTCATTATGTTTTGCTATAGAAAATGAAGGGGACTCAAGTGTTTGCATAATCTCTGTTTGATTTTTTAAATTATTCTTCTTTTTCCCTCTTCTGCTGGGAGTGAAGTATTTATTTCTGTTGCTTAGAAAGCCCAGCCAAAGCTCATCCATATTTCTGATGCTGGATGCAGTCCACGAGCAAATCATGATTCAGTTCTGCATAACATAGAGGGTTTTTCTTTATTTAAAGAATATAGTTTATAGAGTTGCATATGCTAGTGCTTTAAAAGTCCTTCCACTGAGCTCTTTTCTTCATAGTACTCAAATGAGAACACAGTGTTTTCTGTATTGTTTGGAATAGCCTGGGAAACAATGCCTCCCAGTGTGAACAGATCTCCTTCAGTGCACTGGCAAACTCATCTCAGAGGAATGTGGTTATCGACTAACCCATGATTTCTGATAGCAATAGCTAAAAAGAGTGGAAAAGTACTCAGCTCCTTGCAGTCCAATAGCACAGCAGTTTACCGATGCGCATGAGAAAGTCGCTTCTATTTAAAATGGTCATAAATCCTATTGGCTCAAACACAGCATCCTGGCTGCCCAGGGGTGGGGAAACAGCTGTGGACCAAGGTCTCTGGTGGTATAAGCCGGTGTGACTCTGCTGGTTCCAGCAAAACAGTTTCATCTACACAAGTTAGATATTTCATCTTAGTATACATTGCAACACTACTAATTGCAAAAAGAATACTTTGAATTAATTCTTGTGCTTGTGGGAAAACATTCAGATGGAAAATATAATCATCCATTGTTAACATGAGTGTCTGGATTCAATGACTGAAAGTTGGCATTGATTTGTGAAATATAAAATAAGAAACACACAGAACAAATACACTTGCACAGAGACTAATTTTTTTTTTCCCCTTGGGAGAGACTGGAAAGAGAACAGGTTTTGAGCAATTTCTCCAGTGAGTGCAAGGGAGTTAAGGGACTTTAGTTCTTGGAATTCTGTAAAGGTCAGTAACATTTGTCTTTGCCTCAGATTGGATGCTACCCAGATTTTGGGAGGGACCTCTTCTGCTTCCACCCCACATTCTGGCGAAAGGCATGCCAGCAAATGTCTCACCATGGATGAGGCACGGGTGGGCAGAGGGGAGCTCACTCTTGTCTCTAGGCCCCTGCTTCATTGTGGTGGGCCAAGGCTTCCTTCCTCCATCTGCTGCTGTGGGCTGAGCTCCCCAGGGTTTGCCAGGCTTTAGGGACTAGGTGCAAGTGGGAGTGCAGCAGAAACTGCTGCTGCAGTGCTGGCAGAGCAGAGGCTGGAGTGGTTTCACCCTTCCTACTGTATTTTGGAGTGATGCCTTGTAAGGAATACCTGAAGGAGAGCAAGGTCTTGCAAAGCTGAAGGAAAGCACTTCCAGATGTGGCCTTTTCTAGAATGATTAGCCAGGCTAGGGCTGGCAGCTTGCTGCATTGCACAGTTTGAGCTACAGAAATGAGGGTATAACAATCACCAAAAAGGAACAGTGAGATGTCCCTAAAGCCAAGGAGAAAAAAGGAAAGGATAGGTTTGTATTCTCTGCACCAGTGGATCCCTCTTCAATCGTGTACTGAAGAGATGAGTTACTCTTGCTGATGCTTATACTCCTCTTCAAGAGCAACCAGAATTCCCCAAGAACTTCAGATCTGCCCTGTGGAGCAGGAAGAGTCATCTGCAGCACTGCCTTGGTGATTTCAGTTAGCACTCTTGTTTTTCATACAAATGATTTTCTTAAGAAATGTTTACCTAGGAGGAAAAACAATAAAATAAAACTCAGCATCAACACAACCGCTGTGTAGTTCATCAGTGAGATTTCCCAGGTCCTTGTGCCCCCTCCTTTCTTCTGCCATTGCCATCTCTGCTATCTTTCGTGTTAACACTTCAACCTCATGCAGAGTAAGCGTAGGCAGGGAAAAACTGAGCTCCCTTGTACCACCAGGAACATGAATTTCCCGGCTCCCAAGCTGCAGCCTGCATTTCAGAAATTTTTGTTGTGAAACAAAAAGGTTTGAATTCCTTTTTCAGCGTAAGGTATATAGGAAATGTAGTTCCTGCAAGCAGCCACACCATGGCACTAGCAGTGTAGAGCGGTTCTCAGCCAAAACCTAGAGCTCAACTCAAAACTTGCTACACCAGCACTCTTTACTACAGCACAGGAATGTTAATGTGATACAATTAAATATTATGTTGCAAAGAAACTACATGTTCCAAACCACTGCAGTGTGTACCTATGACACGGGGGAGATATTTGTCTTAGCAGCGTGTTTATAATTATACCAAACTCCCCTTTCGCCACTGTCCTGCAAAAATCATTCACAGTCCCAAGCAGGGTGTGGGCACGGCTGCCTCTGACATCCAGTGTGTGGTGCAAGGAGGAGCAGGGCCGGCTGACTCTGCAGATTCAGGGGAGTCAGACACGGTTACCACAACTTGCTTTGCAATGGGACACCCAAGAAAGTGCTTTGCAGAGGGTGTCTGTGAGAAATCAAGAGCTGTGCTGGCTCTTGCCACGCTGGTTGTGTTCCAGCCTGGGGCAAGGGCTTTTGGAGGCTGGGGATCCTGCTATGATGGGGCCTTTGTGGAAGGATATCATGAACAGGTGCACATCCAGTGGGGAATTTGCTCTCCCTCTAGGTCTGACTGGTGCAATATATCCTGTTGTGACAGGTGATGTGGTTTCAGTCCTTCACAATCCTCCCTCTTCACCAGCTTGCACAAGGCTGGGTCTTCCTGGTCTAAGTTCCCTTAAGAACTGATTCGAATCTTAGTGCCTTGCTTTTAGAGCAAAAGATAATTTGCTCAATCTCCATTTGTTGAAACCACAGATTAGACAATTCAGCTGTGAAGTGGCCATGGAAAAAGACCCACTTCAGCAGAAAGGAGTAATACCTGTTCTGCCCTTTCACCTTGTCCTTTTCTCTTCCTCAGTACTGCCAACCCTTGGGTGCTCTGCCAGCCACGTGCATTTTGAGGAATCATTTGAGATGCCAGATAATAACTAGTGCAGGTGGAGTGGTCCCAGGGGCTTCCCAGAGAGGAGCTGCTGGCACAGGTATGCCCACACACAAGGATAAATGTAGAGGTACATGATTACTGTTTTCACATAGAATCAGTGTATCAGATATTATTTCAGTGACTGATTTGTGTTGAGTGAGGGGAAGGCATCTTAATGTGTGCCATTGCCATGTAATAGCAATATTTATTTAAAAGTCCTATGCTCCAAAATCTGGAGAAAACCATCACATGGGTAAAAGAGAGATTTGCAAGCCAAAGCCTTATACTAATCATGAGCTGTCTCATTTTGCTAACTCTATGTTAGGGGAAAAAAAACCTTAATGATATAAAAATACTTAAGCAAATAATTAATGTTATCTCACTCTGGAATTTGATAAGCCTTAATTTTCTTCCTTTTTGGCCATTCCTCTGCTCTGAAAAACTTCTGTTTTCTTCTTACTCTGTAAGTAAACACGGTAGATCTGCCTGCATGAAAAATCTGCCCCTTCGCCAGAAAAAAAGCACCTGTAGCATCACTGCAGTGCAGAGAACAGGTCTGGAATTAATTCACCCAACATATAAGAATTAAGTCGTGCTCTGTCTCCTGTGCTTGAAAGGAATCTTCCAGGGGTTTCTGTATGGCCTGGAGGAAGCTGGGAGACATAATGAAGACTGCCACCAAACCTGCTTGGGGAAGTGGCAAGAGCAGTCTTGGGGCTATGCTTCCTCCAATGTTGCAAGACTGGCAGTGACCCTGTCTCCTGAAAACCTGATTCAGTTACATCAGCCTCATGCAGGCAGAGTTGCAAACCTCAGGATGTGCTTGTTGTCACAGCCTGTGTGATTTTCACAAGCTGTTCAAATCACAGTGTCCATTGTCGTTGGGAGAGGTGATGTGAAAGAGGGGGAGGAAGGTTACGTTAAAGAAAACTTGGACATGTATGTCTTATTTCTATCAGCTAGAAAATTTCTTCTGTGGTCAAAACTATGGAATATTTTCTTTTCTTTGATTTTTTGAAGGACAAGCTGTTGCTGAAGGAAAAAAAAACCCGAAACAACCATGAAATCTGAAAGACCAGTATCCTGGTTTCTGTGAAAACGGAAATAAAACCCCATCACTCTGCCAAATCGATGTTTTCAAAAGCCTTTGCCAGACTAATACTCCAGTATGAAGCAGTATGAGCTCTCTGTATCCTCCCACTGCCACCCCAGGGAGAGAGCCCAGGGAAGCACAGGCTCAAGGACCTCTGGATCTTGCTCACAGTCCTCTAAGGCACCATTTCCTGCTGTCTCTTTGGCTGCAGACATCTGCCTGGTGAGCTCCTCAGACACTGCCTCTCTGTTTAGATATAATTGAATCTTTCTTTTTTTTAATTTTTATTTAAAAATTTTTTTTTAATGTGTTGATTTGAATCAGGTCCTCACTGCTAATAGCCAGTGCATTCAGGATTTTTTTGGGTGACACTTTGAACCTCAGCTGTGCTCTTCCAGGAAGGGCCTTCCATAGCTATGTCTCTGTGCATGGCTGGGAATGACTGTGAAACCTTCCAGGGACCAGAGACCTGTGTTCCAGCCCAGTGAAATACTTTTTTATCTATTGTAAACTGGGTGGACAGGAGAGCCAATGGCTCTCCTTGGCTCTCCTCTAAAACAAACTGGGGACATAGACACCTCTACAGATAATCGGGGATCAAATCTTACCTCATAATTTGCTAAGGTATCAAGACTTCTGCTTTTCAAAGTCTGTTGTCTACTCCACAGAGTACAGATACACATTTCCTTCTCCACACTGAGCAATTCATAAGTTCCACTGTAGGATTAGTGTAAATTATCCCTTCTGATGAGTTTTCTAGACAAAAAGTTTGCCTATGAGCTGATACCATGAGGACAATTCCCCTATCTGTATTCCCAGAAAACCACTTGAAATTCTAGGCAATAAGAGCAAGACTTTTTAAAGTTAAGTGGGAAAAAAGAACAATTACTCAAGTTGCAGAGATGAGAAAGCAGTAGTGCTTGTATCACTTGTTCTTTACTGGCCCTTGCACCCAAGTCTGTTCTGGATGTACCCCATTTCTGACAATAAGCATAATTAGATGTAGCTATCTCTTGGGCTATTTTTTTTTAAATCTCTTAAGGACTCTTGGCTAATATTTATATTAGTTAAAGTTGTAATCTAATCTCATCTTCTGCAAGTCCATGCACATTCTACTGGGTCAAGTTCTTTTCTGTAAGCAAGGTCTGTTGGGTGACAGATGCTTGGAGAGGTGGTTATAACTCAGTATAACACAATATTCTGTGTACTGTCCCTACTTGCAGCATTTGGACATTGGGAACACGAATTAAAACCTGCTGTGATGAAGGACCACATCTTCATCCATGCTTTTGTCTTCTGTCCAGCTCCTAGCGCCCAAAGCTCAAAGTGGAGGGTGGCACAAAAGGCACTAATGCACATATCTGCAGACTGGTCACCTGCATTATTGAGGAACAATGAATTTCCCCAGTTGGTCTGGAAAGGGAACTTCACTCCAGTGGCACTGCTGACTAGGTGAAAAGGGAAAAAGGCAATATTTGGTCCAGGAATCTCAGTTCTGCACAATTTCTCTGCAATCACAATGAGGAAGACTCACGAAGGCGGATGAGCATCCACCCATTGAGGGCCATCTCCTCACTGCAGTCAAACCTGCACGACTCCTAGGAAATGTGAACCCTTATTAAACAAGACGGGCAGGAAAGTCTAATATAAGTCTAACCAGCAATTTTGCAAGTTGGATTTTGTACTTCAGGTAGATCAACAGCAACAGATAAGAGTTCTTGTATTTTATGTATCTAATTTCAGCCTTTGACTAGGTTATGTTGTGCGCCCAATCCCTTTCTTGACACTTGACACAGCAGCTGCCAAAGCTGGTTTCTGGACAGGCCTGTCTTGGGAACAGTGTGTGCTGTGATTTGGATAAAGGGTGCTCAGTCTGGATGTGTGTCTCTGCTTGCCCCTTCCATTGCAACTTTGTTGTGGTAACTGTTATGAAAGCCAAGCCAGCTGCTTCCTAGTTTTACACAAAACACATTAATTGGGACCTCTAGCTTTGCTGTAACAACCAACTCCTACTTGCAGGAATTGTATACTCATGATCCTCATTTGCACACATTGCAGAAGTTGCATCGCCTCAAAGTTTGATACAGATATTATTAAGTATGGTAAGTGAAATCATACAAAAACTTTGTGATGAGTCCTTCATGACACCATGTCTACTAAAAATAACTGCTGACAGATCTGATTTCCACATGTCAGAGTGAAAAAGACTGCCAGGTAATTCACCTGTGCCTGTCACTGACTATATATTGTCTGGTTGCACATTTAGTCAGCTCTTTGCATGAATTCTCCCCAAAAAGTGCTTAGTGAAGCTGCCTTCCTGAAATAGTTTCTCTGTAAGGTTATCTGCTTTTAAAACCAAGAAAGTCTCAAACTACAAATTTAGCAGCAGGAGGAGAAGTTAAAAATCTTTGCATCCCCTTGATACATTCAACTCAATCGAATATATTTCTCTAATGTATTTAATGTATTTATATATGATTCTTAGTACTCTTTTAAAGGTACTTACAAATCTGCAAATTCTTTATCTCTTTTAAGATACAATAACTTTTCAGAATGATTTAAGACATGCTGGAGGAGGTAATTTATATCTCTTGTTGTGATGTTTTTTTTTTTTAGAAGACCAGTCCCCATGACTGACAAGCCACTGATTTACACAGTGGCACTAGCCACGTGAGCACTATTGATTTTGTCATGAGGGTCACAGTCCAAACCCTCCCAGCCTGTCCTTGGCCCAGCACAACCTCCCAAGCCTCTGAAGTCAAGGGCAGAGCTTGTCTGACTGTGAAACAGGAATGAAGTCCTAATCCCCGTAAGCACCTTTTCTAGATAAGCCCTTGGTTCATGGAGGGGTTTGTTTCTCTGGCAGTGTCAGCATAATGAGAGCAGTGTACTTGGCTGCTGCAGCAGCTGGTCTGGCTTGCTCGTATCTACAGCTCTGTTTACGATGGAGAATTTACACAGGCACATGTATCCTTTTTTTACAGAGCCACCTGGCAAAGCTTTGCTGCCTTCACCCTCGGCTCTGCAGTCTGGGAGCACGTGTTGGCTGTTTGGGTTTATCAGCATCAGGGCAGTGAGCGTGAGTGGTGCTGAGGGACTGAGGCTGAGGGTGAGACCTGCATTTGAACTGGCAGTGGAGGGATGGAACTGCTGGGTGTGCCACTCAGCAAACATTCCTGGCTAAAGCAAAAAACCTTGATGCTTACAGACCACAGGTACCTAGGGTGTCCAATACAGCAGGCTCAAGTGCTGCTGCTGCCCAGTGGGTGGATCACACTGTTTTCAGCACTTCAGCAGTTTTGCGGTTCAGAAGCATAATATTGTTTCCTAACATGACAACCCTGCTGCTCTTCTCCAGGAAGGTTACTCCCTTGGCTTGTACCCTTGCAACAGCAGCCAGAGTAATATAGGCAGCCTCATGCCTCAGTTAACACAGCTTTACATGGCATTAAAGAGTATGGTAAGCCAGTGAAAATGGGAACATGACCAGAGGTAGGTGGTAGCCATTCATCTGCTCCTTGAAGTTTTGTCTTGTTTTCACTGCTGTAGATCCTTCTGTACTAGTCTGGTTGCCTCTGTCAATGGCAGAATAGACAGGGCCATGCTGACACTGTTATGGGAGAAAGAATGACCAATTACAGTGCTAGTTTTGTGTTTGGAGTTTGTGCTGTCATGCAATGAAATGGCCTATGCTTGGGCAGGGAAGGGAGGAACCGCTGTGAGCTGGTGGCTGCTTGGAGTAGCTGGGGTTGCGGTGAGGCTCAGCCTCCCTAGATTAAAGCAGTGTTTCATGTCATGTGTGCCCAGTCAGTGTTGTTCATGGCATAACCATTTCACAAACACTGGGCTTAGACACATCTTTGGGAATTATCTGAAACAAAGAGACAAAGAGGAGAAAACATCAATTACTGTGCCTGCCCATGTGCTCCGGTCTGTTCCCCTGCCAGAATTGTATTTCTGTCGGGTGTGAAAATTATTGGAGACTGGTAAATCTCCGGAGCACTGCATAGAGCTGCTGAGTGACAGGAGAGAATGTATTGGGTAGCTTCTGGGCCACCAGTGCAGGGGCAAGCAGCCAGGGAGCTGAGACAGGTGCTGCTCCCAGAGATGGCTGTGAGCCAGCTTTGTGTTGGGGCTGCTTTCTATTTCTATTAGGTGGTACCGTGCTGGGGCAGGTGCATTCTATTGCATGGAAAACTCATAAGCCCACACAGAGCATCATGATAGTGCAGCTCTCACCTTTCTGCTCTTAGAATCTAGACAATTACAATAATCCTAGACAATGACTACTGCCACAAAGACAACTAAATCCTACCTGAAGGCACATTTAATTGAAAACTGCCACAATATCCATTGGCCCTAGAGGTGCTTTAGTTTTTACTAGCAATTTCCTAGAGGTGCTCTCAGTTTGGTGGCAGCACAGCACAGGCCATCAATGCCATGCTGGCTAAATGATAGGCTGCAAGGTGCTTCTCCCAGCCAAGACCTTGTACACATAGCTCAGCATCAAATCTGGAGACTTTGCAGTTGTGGGGCCAACATGCTGGCTAGTCATCCTGGGCTAACTTCCTATTCCCTGAAGAGAATTGAGTGTTTGTGGAAAGAGGTTTGTCTTATAATAAAATGGCTGATTGCCATAGGTATACAGTAGCTCCATGCCTAGACACCTTCCTGTGGGGTATAAGGCAGGGATTTGGATCTCTTCTTTGTCTGAGAGGATTCTCAAGCCCACTCCTTTCTGCTAGTCCCAAATCACTGAGCTATAAACCATATTGTGAGGGTAGGGTTGAGGGGGAGAAACATCATCCTTCCCTGTGCCCAAAAACCTTGGTGGATGAGAAGGCCTTTACAAAACTTGGCCTTTACAAAACTTGGGCAAAACTGAAGAGCAACAATGAGAGGAATGGTGTGCTTCTCCTCTGCCAGTGCATATCTCTCAACAAAGAAAAAAAAAGCTTATAGCTGAAAGACGTGGCAGCAGGCAGAAGTTTCCCACCATTTGAGGAGAGCAGTGCTGTACTGGGCTATTTTCCTCTGTTCTGCACCTGTGTTTTAATTGAGAGACAAGTGCCTGAGTAGCTGAGTGAAACCCAGGCTTTGTGGTTCTTTCATGTGCCAGGAGAGGCACCTGGAAGAGAACATCTGTGGTGAGCACAGCATAGCACAGCTGAGCCTCTGAGAGCTGGGACAGGCAGGGACGAATATACAAAACTGAATTTTGGATGCAGACGCAGGAGTGGTTGGCACATGCCCTGGCCATCGAGGCAGTGCCTTGACTGGCAGCTCGTGATGGGCAGCTGAACTTGTCCCCAGAAGCACTGGCAGCATCTGCAGGGCCTAAGGCCTTTTGGCACTGCAAGCTTGGGGACTGCCACAGGGGCTGAAGCACTGCTCTGCCTCCACTGCAGCAGAAGAAGTGATCTGCCCAGTACCAACTGAATATTTTAATCTGCCAAGGACTGATAGGCATGGGGGCCTGCTTAGCTCTCTTTTGAGGAAGAAAGTTTTGGCTGCAGGAGAGGTTTCACAACAATGTTGCCTTGCAATAGGCATAGGCTTTTTAAAAAGGCTTCAGGTTTAGACATATCCCCTAGGGCAGCCTTTGGGCTCTGTGCCTCCTGTACCCTGAATGCCTGTGCTGCATCCATGGGGCACCTCTCTGGTGGGGCTGAACACCCTGTTGTGTGGTGGAGCCCCCTGAGACAGTGCTCAGCCCCATGTGGGTTTTCCTATAGCTGCTGCCCAGAGCCACGTGCGGACTCCACCTTGCAAGTCACTTACAAAGGATCATCCTGGCTGTACCTAGCACTGAAAAAGGGGTTGACAGTACTTGGATCTCCCCCATTTCTCATTCCCATGTGAATTATCTGTGACTGGTCACACCTAGCCATGCTGCTGATGGGGCTGTTCCGAGGTGGGGTGTGGTGCCAGTGCAGCACTTACCCGCTTGGCTCTGGGACCAGCCTTCCCAGGCCCCCCTGGGGGCAATGTCAGAGTGGTAGCATGTGGTGCCATTTTACCAAGATAATATTCACCTTTCAGTTTTCCTTATTATGCTTTTCCTTAGTAGGTTACAGAGGACGGTCTTTACCTCAAATATGAGGCATAGCCTGGTAAAGCCAGGGAGTGAACTCGCTGGATGGAGGTGGCTGCAGTCTACCTCCATCAGCCAGCAGTAGGGTTGGGCAGGTAGGAGCATTGTCACCAGAGAAGGAATTAGTTAATTTTTTTCTGCTGTAGGTACTGCTTTTTCTTGGTGCTGCAGACCACTTTGCTGTGCAGGAAAAAGATGCCCAAATTCCCTGCTTCCACCCACAGCAGAGTTGGCTGCTGCTTCATTATAGGAATTAAAAAGGGAGTTGGAAACAAGATAAATGCATTTATTAGGTGAGTTTGCCCTTTACTTACTTGGACTTTTTCTGCAAACACAGTACTGATATGAGAACCTAGGAAGGCCATGGGAACATGCATTAAGGCTCCCGCAGGATTCAGACAGAGGGACTGGAGGTATGGTAGTCCCTGCATGGGCTCACCAGCAGCAGCTCTGCTGTGCTGCAGTGAGGTTGGTCCCCATGGAAGCCATGGGAACAGTCTGTCCCTGCGATGCAAATAAAACTTCAGCCAGGGCTGGTTGCTCGTGACAAGTAGTGGCACTGTTTCAAGGTTTCATGAACCTAAAGAAAGAGGGTGATTGAAGGGAGAGAGGTGTCCTTTATGTATCTGTTAAATCAAGTTTGAAGGAGATCTACTATTGTGTATGGAAGAAAAGAGGGTTGTTATGGAGCAAAGGAACTGAAGTGTCTGCCAAAGTGTCTAATACCATTCAAAGCCTTTTGACTTTATATAAAGAAACTACACAGCTCAACTAAGTAGGCTGGTTAAAGCCAAGCAGTCTCTTACACTTTAAACAAAAACTAGATAAAAGCTTCTCTCAGCCACGTGGCTGGGGATAATGTGCTGCCTCTGGACTCCTTGAGCCTGACCTGGCAGGCACTAATTTATCTGCCATG